AAATATAATGTTTTATTTTTAATTTGTTAGTAATTTCATCTATAATTTTTAATTTAAATATTAAATTTAATAAAAAATTTCAAAAACATATCAAATAACACTGATGATTTTTCAATCTGTTGGTGACTTTTTTTTTATAAAGAACAATAATTAAGAATGAAATTAAGAAGTAAACAGTTTCAAAGTTCTCTAGAAAATACCGAACAGAATTTTCAATTATTAATTCCATTGGTAATTGACATGATAAATAGTGTTAGGAAGATATGAACAATTTATCAATAAGTTTTTCGAAGGAATTGAAACCATCGGTAACTTTGTTAATATAAATAACACATAATTTTATTTTTTTTCCAATTGTAATTCCCTCGTTATATAACAAAGGAATATTTTCATTACTTTGTTAATATAAATAACACATAATTTTTTTTTTCCAATTGTAATTCCCTCATTATATAACAAAGGAATATTTTCATCGGTAAAATTCACTCTAATTTACCAACGAAAACATTTTATCAGTATTTTCATTTATATTTATCAATTTTCTAGTAGTGAATGTTTTAGAATATGGAGCAAATGATATATGTAATTTTGAAACTTGAACATTATCTGAGTTGCTTTATAGTGAGAGACTTCACATTGATAATCGATCATCAATCATGCATTTTTTCTTTATATTATAAGTTTATTGATATCATCTTTAACATTTCATTTAAAAAGATAACTAACAAGTTCTTTTTTAACTAGGAACTTTATGTTCAAAGCAACAAGACCATTGTGATACAAATAAAAAGGTAAAGTAAAAAGCCTATCTAAAGAACTCATAGTAAGCACCCTTGACTTTATCCCATTATGTTGTCATTTCCATAATTTATATATTGACATCATTTTTCTTGTTTATTTATAGTTTTTGAACCTACTATAATTCCTCATTAATTAAGGATTGTTTAACCTATTAAGGCTTACTAGTTTATTGAGGCTTATAATAATAATAAAAAAAACTCATTACTTCATTTGTGAGAAAAATATAAATATATAATTTGTTTGATTGTTTTTATTATTATTATTATACCACCACCACTATCACCATCATTTAAGTATGAATTTGTCTTATCACCATCCTTCTTGTTTTTCAAGTACCAACTCCATATGAAAATAATAATTATCCCTCGTATTGTTTTAACTTTAGCAAATGATCAAGATAAAGCATTAAAATCTCATTTAACTTTAACTTTTAAGGGAGAATACCATCATTCATGAATTAACTATTGACCATATTCTTAATTATAAAGATTCATTTATATTATGGGTGTTATAATAACACTCCATTCATGACAATCTTGATATGATCTTTGTGGTATAATCTTTTTACTTAATAAGTTATGGTAACACAAAGATAGTTACTGAATAAATTAGAAAAGCTAGTATAAGTGTTGTTGAAGCTCTTTTAGACAACAAAGCTAAAGTAATGTATGGAATCCCTTTAATAACTTTAGGAAAAAAAATCATATTCCTCTCAAAACCACAATGGTATCTACTCAAGAGATGAAAATAAGATATGAAGCTACTTAGGTATTTATATTGTTTTAAAATGAGTTTTGGAAAGCTAAGCACATCTCTACCCAACAAACTAAACTCACTTTTAAAAACCTTGTAATGTATCTTCAATGTTATAAGGCTAATGTTATTCACTTGAGAAAAAAATAGTTAGGGTTAAGTAAATGATTGTTAAGACTAGGGCTTCTATAAATCAACCAGAGATTAAAGCTGGGAGATATATAGAGAAAACCATTACCTTGCAAGAATCTATAAACACAATCTTAGTTAAGCTTAAGAATAAAGATCACCAAGGATAAGGCCTCAACAGATCTCCAGTTTATTAATATTAACTAGGATAAGTTTAAGATCATATTAGAAGAAAATATATCTTAATTTTTTGTATGGATGTTTTTGTTCTAACTTTTGTAATATTAATAAATTCATGCTTTCAATTATACATGTAACTTTATATGTATAAGTTCCTAAAATTTGAACAATATTCTTTTGAACATAATATGTTTATTAGTTAATATCTTATTTCGAGCAATGTTCTTTTTATCTCTTATTAACTATTTAAATGTTTGTATATGATAAATTTTTTATTTCTCGTAAATAACCTAAAACATTTTTGTTAATTAAATAGTAATAATAAAAACTTAAGTAACTAAACATGAATCTTTTAGCTTATCATTAGGCATGCAATACAAATAATTTCTCTAAAATAATCTAAACTTGTGATATCTAGGTTGTTTAGTTATTCTCCTAAGTCTATCAACATATATTATGTCTCACATACAAAGTTATTCTTTTTTTAGGTATTGATCAACCAAAAATATAATTTCTAATTTTGGTTACCTAGGTAGCTTCCTATTTAAGTACTTTCAACAATGATATATGGACTCTCCAAATTAGGTGGCCATTTGCTAAATTTTAAATCCTTATACTAATTGGTAATATGATCCTTCATACTAGATCACCTATAAAGAGGTTCTTTGATATATCATAGTTGTTGAATATTCTTTTAAATTTTTTCTTATTGGCTAGCAAGTGGTCTAATACATTAAATCTTACCTTATCAAAATTCTCTAATTTTGCTAACATATGAGATCAATAATATATGTTATATCCATATTACATTGTACAACCCTCTTAAGTGATTGAATTGCAAATTTTACTGGTATCAAAATATTATAGCCACAAGTCAAGGTCAATGGTAAAGTTCTTAAAATACTTTTCTATGAAGTATTTTATATTCGTAATACTTTTAAAAATGCATCATAACAAGCCTTAGGATTGTTTACAACTAATATCTATATTTTAAGGATTATATTTGTATTGGTTTAATTGGTTTTGCCATTAGCATAAGGTGTAAATAATTGTTTTAAATCAATATTTCTATTTGAATTCCTTTACATCCTCCCTAATGAATACCAAGCTTTAACCATTTTATGATTGTTTCTGGTCATCCAAATTTATGAGTGATTTGTCTCTTAATAATTTTGATCTCAGTTTCCTAATTGATTGTTCAATAAAAAGTAGCTCTAACCTATTTGATAAAATAATGTGTAGCTATAAAGATGTAGTTATACTTATATCTCTTTAAAAACTGTGCGCACACAAATTAATACGCATATTAATATATAGCTACAATCAAGTCATATATATAGGACACCCCAACAAAAATAGTTCTTTTAAGAAAAAAATTAATGCTTCACTTTCAATAATGTGAATGCTTTGATCAACGACTTTCCTCTTGACATAATATATAGATATAAGAATTCTTTACTTTTAAAATACATAAAAATGACATAATATATAGATATAAGAATTCTTTACTTTTAAAATATATAAAAGAAAAACTAATACTTAATTACTCATTATTACTCATGGACAAGCTAAAAAAAACTTGTGGCATACAGATTTATAGTATTTTTATTTTTATTGAGGAGGTTTTATTTTTTCTGGGACACTTAGGGCTACCATTTGTTTTCTTTTACTAACTTTTATTTTATTTTTCTTGTCTTTAAATAGTTTATTAACATGTGAAACCCTTCTTCTTCTTTTTTGACAATTGAATTTTATTCAAACTGATGGATTAATCTATAGATAAACTGTCCATCAATAGATTTGTTTTCTTATTTAGTTACCCATTGACTGAAGTAGAAAAGGAGCGTCTAATAAACACATGAAGTGAGAAGCAATAATTGATTCAAACACTATAAATGCATGAATGATAATATATCACATGCTTGTGAAAAGTAAGACCTACAAGTCAATAGTAGATGTATTTTGGATTCAAGTTAATAGTAGATGTATTTTGGATTCAATACTACATCCACTAGTCTTATTTCAAATCGTCACGCAAGTGTAAAATGATCTTCCTTGCATATTTTATAGTCTTCTCCAAATGACATCCTTTTCATGATGACCTTGTATGCTCACATTATTAAAAAAAAAAAATGAAAGAGAAGGCGAAAACATGGTTTACAGAGACACATAAGACACATAGCACAATGTTTTCATCTTCTTACCCTTTTAAAAAACAAACTAATTAGCTAATGGTTGATGGTAGAATTTTCTTTACAGAAGAACCGTTTTAAACTAATTGGCTAATGGTTTAGTGTCTAGCATAAGAAGATGGGTGGAATGGCAAGGGTTTTTTTTTTTTATTCAATGGATATTTTAAACAACCAAATACTTCATAGGAACAAAGCTAGCTAACAATGTCAGCCCGAGTATATATATTTATGGCCGGTTTTATAGCCAGTGCTCCTTACAGGGTGACAATAATACATGAGATATATTATGGTTCTAATTGAGAATAGTGCTTGCATTTCTCTTGCTCTTCTCTCTATATGAACTCCTTGACGTGCTGATGCTGGGAAGGAAAGCTACTGGCAGTACGTGGTCCAGTTCCATTCAAGGCTTGAAGCTTTCCTATTCATACAATATGCTTCTGCGATCCCTTTATAGCCATCTCCACTGTAGAATTATCACCATCTTTATATCTATACCATTTGGCACACAAAAGAAAATAGCCGACGTTGAGGATCCCCAGACCAACGATCATGTAATAGAAGCAATCCAGTTTCCCTTTGTTAAGATCATCGTCCAACCAGTCTCCAGTTTTGCTCCCTGAAGTAATGCGGTGGACTAAAGTAACTAGGAAACCACTTAGATAATTAGAGATAGCAGCACCTGCGAAAAAGGATGACCCAGCGATACTCCTCATATTTTCTGGGAATTGCTTGTAGTAGAACTCGATCTGTGCAATATAATTGAAACCCTCTGAAAGTCCAGAGAGTGAAAGTTGTGGTATCAGCCACATGGCAGACATTGATGATATAGCGCCTCCTTTACTTGTAATGCCTATTGCTGGCCTTGTTAAAGCAATGTGCCTTCTGTTTCCTTCTACCAACCCGAAACGATCGTACAAAGCATTGCTAGAACCATTCCAATTCCCATTCTTTGAAGCAATGTTAGTCCACCTTCTTTGCCAGTAAGCCTTTGAAGAAACGGAACAATGATTCGGTCATAGAGGGGAATCCAGATGGTGAGGGTTATCATTGTAAAGATTACGTACGTTGCGGCAGGCACATCAAAACTATTACTGCCCGGATGTAAAGATTACGTACGTTGCGGCAGGCACCTCAAAACTGGTGCCCAGGCGTCTATCCATCTGAAGGGCTTGGAAAACTGCATAAGTCTGTTGCTGGATCAAGGGAATATGATAAAGTATGGATGTTTACCCTATGGGAAATATCCTCAGCAAACACTTTCACTTCCTCGACTTGTTGGATGCTACAAAGTTTCGATGGGTTAGTAGCTGAACCATCCAAATTAATTTGATCTCCATCTGTAATGATTGCAGTTTTGTCAAGATACCTGCAGTGGTCGTCATCATTGAGTATTAAAAGTCAAAACGAAAAATAAAAATTATCTCTGATTCTGTAATTGGCAATCAAATAATTAATGTATGCTGCCGAGTCTTTTGCAGCTCTGCCTTGACACTGTAACTCACACAACCACAGACCGAAAGGGTTTTCTTTTGTAGCGGCAACAAGTACATGAACCACCCTTCATGTTGAAAACTGTAGTCAGATACACAACAAGATTTGTTGAGGAGCCGACTGTGCCAAGCTTCTCAAACGTCTCATTTCCTGCACGTATTAGTGTCGTGAACCGTGTGGATATTAGAAAGCACCGTGTGTACGTATGTTAACGTATTACTGCTTGACGACGACCGGCGACAGGGGCTGATCATTTGATTAAAAAATGTCACAAGCTTTGATTTTGAGCAGCTAGAATAGACAAGTAGAGAAAAGGCAGATCAATAGGACCGTTCATAGCTAAGAATAGTCGTGTTTGTATCTAATACGAGGCTCTCCTCAAAGATGGGGAATCCATGGCACCAACTACCATTCTATGACTTATGTCCATATCCTAATTTTCTCCCTTTCTTTCGCAACTAACTTTCGAAGATATGTCTGTTCTTTTTGTTGTTGATCTCTATATGAGATAGTTTGCTTAATATATTACTTATTATTAGTTTTTTCCTTCCAACAAAGAAAACTTATAATTCAAAACTTAATCACCAGTGGAGCCCATGCGAGTAAAATAAAATGTGAAATTCTCAGCTTTGTTTAACCAATTAAGAAAACTATAAATTAAGTAAAAACAAATGAATTAAAACAATAAACATAAAATAAAGAAGGCTATAATGAAAAAATTCTCTAATTTTTTTCAAAATATCAACCATAAAAGTGTAAGATATTCACTTTAGCTTGGTGATCTACTTTATTTAAAAGAATAACTGCTTTTATGAGCCCCACAACCATCATTATGTGACAATGTAACCAGGATTCATACAAGGCATCATGTTTTTTAATGATACAGTACCATAACCTTCACTATATGACAAGGTACGTAGCCAAGATTCTTACGTGATTATCCATATATTATTCCTCGTAGTTTATCGGTAGTCATTTCATTCAGACTTTATTATAATCTTCAAATAGCATTTTTCACTTCCTAGAAATCTTCATAGAAATATGCCTTTTAATATTTTTTTTAATCTATAGCAACCTTAAGATGGTTTTTGGATTGGAACCTTCCTCACCCTCACTACTAAGGTCTTTTATTATAGAGTTAATATGTTATACTACTAGAAATTCATTTAAAAACAATAAAATTATTGATGGAATAATTATATCGATAATTTACAATGATAATTACTAACAGATACTTTTTTATTTGTAATCCAATCGAAATATACCAACAAGATTACAGACAGAATATATAAAATTTTAAAAAAAATAATGATTCGCTAATGTGAAAATTTTTGCGCACGATTTTACCAACAGAATAATTAAGGGATGCAAACTGAGATCTCCATCAAGTGACGTGACCGATTTACCGTCAGAATTGCCAACGGAATCACCGACAGAATAAATTCGTCGGTGATTCCATTAGCAAAAGTTAATATATCACCACTCTCCCGACCCTCTCCTCCCCTATTTCTCCTTTTTTTTTCTCATCCCAACTCTTTCCTCTCAAACTGTAAACAATCATCTCCCCAACCCCCCCAAAAAAAAATCACCATTTTCTCATAAGTCATATTTCTTTAAGTTTTGTGGTCATAGCATTCATGTTATGATTTATTGTGGATTTTATTATTTTTTGTAAGTAAATCTATCTTTTTTTTATTTTTAACATTTAAATATCAATTTTTTATAATATATATATTTTGTTAGTATATGTACATATTTTATTGTTATTTCTAAAACAAACTTGCAGTAGTTAAATGTATAATTTTGTGTTTGTTATGATTTGTTTTAGATTTTATAAAATTATATATGTTTGTAAATTGTTGAAACTTTGTTGAATTACTGAATTATATATGTTGTGATGAAATAATTAATAGCTTGTTTAATAGGTCTGTTTTAATTTTTATTAATGTTATTACGAAGTTGTAATTTCTGTAAATTTATATGTATAAATTTGTATGGACGTTTTTAATGAATATTTAATATTTATGAGAAGCTTTAATTAGTTTGTTGGATAATCTTGAGGTAAACAAATATTTTTACAAATTTGTTTACCTAACATAGTTAATTAATACATGTTGTCATCATAATTTAATAGAGGTTTGATAGAAGTCATAGATGATCGTTCATGAATATATCGAGATTCACCCCAAGGATTGCAAAGGATAGATTATTATAACGGGATTTAGGGTTTGATTAATTTCGCAACATCTATTCCCATAAATTTTACTGGAAGCGATTGATTAGTACTTAAAAGTATATTTTTATCAAGGTTTTATATCATCATTTTGTACTTAAAGTATCAATAACTTCTTAACTAAAGCATCTTTTATAAGAACATATCAATAATATAAGATACCTTTAATTTATGGTAAATGTTCATTTTAAATGCAGGCCTATCACATAAATAAAAGAATTGATTGATGAGTTTAAGAACTGAAATTAAAATGATAAAGAGATGGCCAAACTTAGAAAAGAGATGCTAGTGCAGTCCAAACTGAAACACTATTCGGTAATTGGGTCATATTTGGAGCTATAGATCTCGGTAATTGGCTTACAACTTTTATATGGAGCCCAAGATTTAATAATTTTATTTTTAAGTTTAAATTGTAGCAATAATAAAGAAGTCTGAATCTCTCCTACAGCCCGAACATTGTTCAGTATTTGGCCCATATCTGGAGTTTTAGAAGTCCAAATGACCTCCAATTTTTTTTCTAGAAAGCTAAGACAATTTTCTACAACTTTTATGTTTCAAATGGTTCCAATTCTGACATTATCGATGATGTTTTGGACAAACAAAAAAAGATAAAGATTGTCACCAAGTCAAGAGTTGACGACCCACTCAGCAATTAGTCATCAAATCAATAGTTCCCAATTTTGGCCTATAAAAGGAGGCATTTGCCATGCATTTAGGCATCTTGGTTTCTAGATCAAGATCATGCTATTGCTTTCTCTTTTTGTATTTTTTGTAATGTTTATGCCTTGCTTT